GGTAGGTAGGTAGGTAGGTAGGTAGGTAGGTAGGTAGGTAGGTAGGTAGGTAGGTGAGAACATGTCCTTATACAATCGGTGGTGTCAATGATGTTTGTTTCTCTTTATCAAGAAAGGAAATGTGTCCTCTACAGAAGCTTTGGTCATTGTCAGACACTGGTGGAAGAATTATCATTATTACTACATGAACCTATGAACTCTAAGGTTACCACAGCAAGAACAATTAATGATGATGTCACAAGATGGGTGCTGATGTCACAAGATGGGTGCTGGTGTGTCCCCTTTGTCTGACCACAGATACACATACGAGCTTTTATCTGTTTTACAAGCATTCTTGATGTCTGTCCATTTTATTGTGAGCGATTTATCCAATACGTCACTGACACGTCAAAGTGAGGCCTTTGTCTGACCACAGAGACACATACGAGATGCTTTTGTCTGTTTTAAAAGCATTCTTGATGTTTGCTCATTTTATTGACAGCAATATTTTAAAATTTCATTTGACACGTCAGAGCGAGGTTTGTGCGACTGTAGCCGTTTATCTAATACGTCACGGACACGTCAGAGCGAGGTTTATGGGACTGACCTTTGTCCAGTGGACCTGGGGTGGCGGGGTGCCGGTGATCTGGCAGTCCAAAGTCACGGGTTCACCCTGGGTGACCTTGGTGTCACGGGTCAAGCTGCGGAACTCTGGCGGAACCTCCTTCTCCTGGGGCTCACCTTCTGTGTACGGGGAGGGGGGAGGGGGGTGAGAGGTGTGTGAGTGAGAGTTTTACGGCATTTGCTACACGATAAAGGTCATGTAAATGCTGAAGACTGGGGGTATTTCTAGAGAGTAACAAAGAAAAGAAGGAGGAGAGACAAGAACGATAGATGTTTGATAGGAAAGAAGGAGGAGAGATAAGGACGATAGATGCCTGATAGGAAAGAAGGAGAGATAAGGACGATAGATGTTTGATAGGAAAGAAGGAGCAAACCACACCAGAGCACTGGCATGCACATAATAGCAAAATTGAAGGGACATAAATATCGTTTCATTACGATCAGATTTCATTGTCAACATGTTTTAGATACCAAATAAATACAGGCATAAGACAAGATTGGGACCTGAAACATTGTCAGCAATCTAAGTGTGAGTTTCATTATGTGTGTGTTCACTATGTTAGTGTTTTGTAATATGAGTGTGTTAACTATGTGAGTGTTTTGTAATATGAATGTGTTCACTATGTGTGTTTCACTAAGCATGTGTTTCGCTATGTGAGTGTTTCCCTATGTGAGTGTTTGTAATAATTTTTTGCGTGTATCACTATGTGCGTGTTTCGCTATGTATGTATTTCGCAATGTATGTGTGTTATATGCGTGTTTTGTACTATGAGCGCTAGTCTGTAATCAGATCTTCTCCAACATTTCCCTCTGGGGTAATAAAGTATTATCTTATCTTATCTCTGTTCCACTGCACAGCCCTAAATGACATCAGAACTACCCTTCTCCCTCCAAGACCTAACATTGACAACACACTCTATGGAACATTACAGCAACTGCAGCAAACCTGCACTTATCACTACATGATATTGGACAGAAGGGCGAGAGCCCAGATGTTGCAGAATCAACAACAACAACTTATCATATCTTATCGTTTCTCATCTTAGTTTATCTTATCTTATCTTATCGACCCACCTTCCACGCTGAGCTTGGCTTTGCACTGAACCATTCCGAACTTGTTGTAGGCTTTGACGGTGTAGAGTCCGGAGTCCTCGGCAAACACCTCTGGAATCTGCAGTGTGCTGGTGGTCTCTGAGGTGGAGATCTGGAAGTCTCGGGACGGGTGGATCTCAAAGTTGTCTCTGTACCACGTGATGACGGGGGGAGGGATGCCCTTAAACTGGACCTCCAGGCTGGTGGGGGAGGAGAGGGAGAGATGTAGATAGTTAGAGGGAGA